TCCCTACATACCACCCCATATTCCTGAGATGTCCTACAAGGAAAAACAAAAAGCAAGAAAAAATTGCCCCCATACCTGTGTGATCTGTACAATCAGAAACACTCTGGAGGCATCATGCAACTTCAGGAAACTGATGTAAGTTTTGCACAATGAAGAGAGCTGAGTGCCCTGGACAGAGCACGAGTCAGTGGTTTTTAGCACAGTACTCAAGTCTAGACCTGTAGACCTCAACGATCCTCTAAAATCTTTCCAATCTTTCGTCCCACTGAAATTCCCAAGAAGATTACTGAGTGCATTAGAAACCACATATCTGAACATACTAGAAAGGACACATCTTTAGTTAAATGCACAATGCTGGGGGGGAAATGCGAAGAGCAAGAGAAAAGCGAGCAGAAAAGCAAAGGGTTTTCCTCATTACCCCCAATTGCAGCTGATCTTTCCTGATGTCTTCAGTCTCTGCAAAGTGGTAGGAAGAAAGTGTGAGCAGATCTCAATGCCTTCAGGGGCCTGTTGCTTTTACAGTAGTTCTGTCCCGCCTATGCCAGGTGATCTCATGGCAGCCACACCTGGATTCTGTAAGGTGTGTCTCGGCTCATGTCCAGCAGCAATGAAAAAGCCGAAGGAGTCGGCTACGGAGTCAGGCAAGTGTTCTGCAGACTCCCTACGCAATTTATAGCTCTGAGCTAACAGGAAGACTACCCAATACCCAGGAAGCAGAAATAGGGAAGTGAACATATCCATTTAAAGGGGGTGAGGTTGAGGAGGAATAATCCTCTCCTTACTAACTGGAACAAGATCAACTCATACATCATATGAAACTAGATTCTTCAATATCTGAAAGGGGACAGGTCTGATCTCAGAAGCTAAGCGGGATCGATATTTGGAAGGGACACCTCCAAAGAAGACGCTGCAGAGGGAGGCACTGGCAAACCGCCTCTGCTTCTCAACGGCCATGGAAGCCCCTTGCTGGTGTCGCCATATCTTAGTTGCAACTTGATGGCATCTACATACCTACATAGTCTACACTGCTGGAGTGCCTAAGGAAATTTCCCTTTTTTCATTTGTTTGTAATGTACAGCTGACTAGCAGCTTATAAAAAGCTCCCCCCAATTTTTTTTAAAATGTGAAAAGCAGGCTCTGTAGCTCTCATCATTGTAAAAACTGATGACTTGACACCACGTTTGAACTGAATTTTAATCCAGTTCAAATGTATGCCTTCTCTCTGGGTGCTTTTCATAGAGACACATCTATACTATAGACAGATAACTCCCAGGAATTCCAGTTTGCAAAGAATTCTTGCTAGAGCAGAGGTGTTGGATTAATTTGTTACAAGGGCTGGATCTGACATAAATATCTCTTTGTTGGTGCGGGCCCTGTGTGCCATAAAATGTAATGCCGCCAGGTACGGGAGATATAACTTTATAAAGGACACAGGCAAAGGCGATTAACAATATTATTTTTTTACTCAAAATACAAACATGCTTAAAACATTAACACTCTTACAGTATTTCCTTACAGTATCTCCCTGATACCCACCTTCCCACTTCCACTGCCTGTTATGCATTAGCAGTGGGACAGGATACAGGGACATAATGCACAGCCTCTGTCATCTGGCAATAAAGGTAATAACCAGTTGCTCACAGGCCAGGTAAGAGCCCTGGATGGGCCAGTTCCGTCCCGCGGGTCGTATGTTTGACACCCCTGTCTAGAGATTCCTTCCCTCGCCCCCTTCCCCACTCACAAAGCTAAAACACCCAGGGCTCACCAGGGAGAACGAATTATACAAACTGTTCTAAAGGTTTATATTTACGAGATGAGAGAGAGAGAGAGCTGTAATTCAGGGCAGGGGAGGGGGATTAACTCTGAACATTGCATCTATTCCCAATGCAAATCATTTATCTATAGCTGCTATTTGAGCCTTGGTAGAAAACAGACAGGTATCCTATAGTACCTTTTCTGCCATAGTGCAGCAAATAGCAGCTAGAAGAAGTCAATTTGCACTGGGAAAATGGTGTGGGGAAGCTCTCCCCTATTATGGTTGCCAATTCCAGGATGGAAAATGACTGGAGATTTGGGGGATGGAGACTGGGGCGGGCTGAATTTGTGGAGGGGAGGAGCCTCCACCAGTTATAATGCCATAGAATCCACCCTCCAAAGTGGCCATTTTCTCCAGGGGCCTGATCTCTGTAGTCTGGAGATCACTTATAATTCTGGGAGATATCCAGGTCCCACCTGGAGGTTGGCATCCCTACACCTATGACCCTAATCCATACCTTCTTCCACATACACACACAGACAGTTATTACCTTTAAACAAAAACAGGGGACCTCCTGATCGCAGATATCCTCTGGTCTTTCTTGCTGATCAGCCCACACATGAGATTTAAAGCAGCTTTTCCTTCCATCGGTTCTTAGCACAAATGGGAAACTGTAATGTACTGCCGCCATTACCACATGCAAGGTATTCAGCCTGACATGCCCGGACTTGCCTGGGCTGGCCAGGCACAATTTATCTGTAGCATCAGCCGAAAGACAAAGGATCCGAAGGATCCTAGCCGGCCCAATCAAAAGGGCTAGCTTCCCAGCCGGGAGACCAATGGTCGCCCGGTTACTGTAAATAGCCTATCGGGAGTAGGGTGTGTGTTTAGGTGTACTGGTGGCAGGTTTTCTGAACGCATATAAACCGGCCTGCGAGCTGGTTTCTTTGTCTTCGTTCTGATCTAATAAAGTACTCTCTGCTGAATCACTCAACGTCTCGAGTACTTTTCACTGGTGACGAGGATGGGATTCACCTCTCACTGAACAAAGACCCGGAGGAGCACGCACCGAGCCCCGATCTGGACCACCGCCGCTGCCGCCGCTCGTCTTGGATCATCGCTCACTCGCTAGTCTCGCTCCGTCAACCGTCAGCTGC